ATGAGTCAGCTGACTATGAAAATAGGAGATGACGCGGTCTGCTCATGCCACAAACGAACTGTGTCGAGCCCTACTGATGAACTAATACTAGATTTAGCACGGTTCGGTTGTGTCTGGCGAAACCGAGTCCAGTTCAGTTCAGTTCCATTTACACACAAGAATTATCTTACAAACGTTCTCAGCACAGTTCTAAAAGGTTGCGTAAAAGGGGCATTACTTTAAAAAAAAGTACTTCTTGTCCAGCGCTGTTGCATGCGCCTCATGCGCTTACATGTGCAGGTTACTGACACTTTGACTTAGACCAAGAAATTAGTCCTTATTTATACAGTTAAGTAACGAATAATGCATCTGTTTAAAGCGCAGTAATAACTAACGCCTTACTGTTTTTTACAAACTAATTAGTGACATTGTTAATTACCAGAAAAGTAACCTAGTTACTGTTACGGTATAGAAGCAAATTGTGTTGCCTTATGTTACTGTGACCTTAAGCTCAATTGGTAACACAGAGTAAGCAGGCTGGAAGTCACGTACAAATCTTGGCAAAAACAGGGTCTTAAGGGCTGACTCGCAGGCAATCGGGTCACAGGCCAAGAAGCTTCCAGGAAGTTCTCCAGAACGTCCAGTCGTGCACGTGCATCCACACAGTGCAATATTGAAACCATATAAATGCCCAGATTGGAATGAGAGTGGAGAAAAAGCAAGATATGTTCTGTTAGAATGTTCGGCGCGTGTACTGAGGACAGCATGTCAATTTGATCTTTAAAATAAATGCTTCTTCTCCCGTCCTGGGGCAATCAGATAATCGACCGAAGGTGTCCGGATTTTTTAGATTCTACCATTGAAAGCCACCACAATGGGTTGGTCCCAACAGTGTTGTCTTGGGACCAGAGCCTGTGTAAAAGAAGCTGATTAGTCAGTCACTTCATTTGGATGGGATTAAATAGATCTTACATAATAAAGTAAAAACACTGTGTGTTATTTTTTATCAGGACTTTTTATTTAAATCCCATATCAACGAGAACGTCCCTCTTTCATCTGTGGAATATTGCAAAAATTAGGAATATCTTATCCACAGGTGATGCTGAGAAACTAGTCCATGCATTTGTTACTTTAAGACTTGACTATTATAATTCTTTACTATCATGTAATCCAGAAACTGTAGTTAAAAGCCTTCAGCTGATCCAAAATGCTGCAGCCAGAGTATTTCTCCCATCTTGGCCTCTCTTCACTAGTTTCCTCTTGGATCTGGAATAGAATTTAAACTCTTCCTTCCTAGATATATTTTGTCCTGATAGTTAAAACAATAAATAAAATCTTGATAAATATAGTGAAAATATCAAATTTGAGAAAATCACAGATTCTCCTGGCTTCTTCAAATGTGTAATAAAATCATACATTGCAAAAAGGAAAGTAACAATCCCTAAACTTTATCTTTATAGATTTAAGACTAAAATTGATGTTTATAATATTACAGATTAATCACAATTTGTGTGAAGCATAAAAACAGATTTTTCAATTAGGCTGAAAGCATTTATTAAAAAACAGATAATTTGACAACCAGATGCATGTGAAAATGAAAAAATTAGCTATTTAAATGTGATAATAAGAGCCTAAAATGAAAGTGATAATATGAGGCCTTGGAAATGCACGGCTGGCTGATTGTTATTCTTTTAAAGAAAATTCAAATGGCCACTTCAATGAAAAATAAAAACTGGGGAAATGAAAGTGAATTCTGTTCACAGAAAACCAAGCTTTCTATTACTTCAAAAAACAGAAATCTCATTTAACTTCAAAAACTGTTATTAGTCCTGAGCTTCCTACATTAGCTGCACTGTGGAGGGACGGCGGCATTAGTACAGAACTCAGGAATGGCTGCACACAAAACATCTGAAAACATTCATAAAAAATGTCTCTAAAGCTTGATAAAAAAAAAGATTAGAATGTTGGTTTAGACTGAAGCCATACCTGGTGAAGGTGTCTCAGTGTCCACATCTAGTCTAGTTCCCACCGTGGTTATTTCAGCGTCGGGTTCAGGAGGGTTTGTCCATGTTTCAGGCAGCTGAGAGTGTGAATCTGTGGAAGGAGGTTGACTTGGATCCCTGTCTTGTTCCAACGTCACAGCTGATTCTGGGGGTTTTACCCTCGTTGGTAAATCCCCGCTTTGATGCTCCTTGGGGTTACTTCCATGGAAGGAGCTGACACTGAGCCCTCTGCCCAGGAGAGGGAGCAGATTCTGGGGCAGCGCAGAGGGGACGATGTCCCCTTTCTTGGACATGAGACGTCCTTTGTGGGCCAGCACTGAGTGTAGTAAACCTCCTACTGCGATGCTGGAAGCTTTTCCTTTCATGCTGCCTTCCCTTGTGTCAGCCGTCGTCACCGCTGGAGACTCCACAGAGGGGGGGACTGTGGGGACCTCTTTATCTGACAAAGGAAAAAAATAAATAAATAAAACCACTGCAAGAGACAGAAATAAACATCTTGCTGTAGAAGTCTGATCTGGGGGGGG